TATACATGTTTGTCTTATAATTCAGTTTAGTCAATGTAATTGTAGTATTTGAGGGAAGTAATCAAGTATATAATTTTAGTAACTAGAGTTGCCTAAATTTTCGATTCCGTTGCTGCTAATTAGCGTCAAAATTAGAAAACAATCAGTAGGAGATTCTACATATACAGTTGTGTAACTAATACTTGGAAGCTGAAGTTAAGTGGAGGAATCAGATGGTATTATAATATATGATATTTATTATATTCCACCTCGCCCTAACATATCACTAATTCACCTCGTTAATAAATTACACGTGAGACAGAAGTGACATAGAATCATACTAATAACTTGTCCCCTGCTGAAAACGATAGCCATAAATGAGAATGTCGATCCAAGTCAGTCCTCTTACAAATACATAAAGGTAGTTGGGATACTGCTGTTATCATACATTATAATACATTGTTTAGCTCGGCAAAAGGTAATAAGTATTATCGATGTGTGTTCGTAGACCGTATGTCTGGTTTTCACTACATTTCAATATCACTGCTATTAAACAATTTCTTCATAATTAACACCAACAGCTAGGTTTGATTTTGATCTCCGTAACTATTAACAATGTTTAACAGGTTTGGCCCGAAAATTCCTCTCACTGCAACTCAATATTACTCAATGCAAACAGACACTATTCGAGTGAAAAATCAGGAACACTTGGAGGTAGTCCATGAGAACCACTATCAACCATAACAATGTGAGTCCTCTCTTATTTCTTCTACATCAATTTTCCATTTTTATTATATGTGTCACTGTCAATTCATTCGCTTTAAAATCCGTGCTGATTGCCGTAAAACTGCTAGATTCCATAGCTCTTCGACGTATCATTTTGCTCTTGCCTACTGTTTTGTTACTCTACCAACTATCTAACAGCTTTAACTATCCGATTTGTTTGTTTAAGGTAGAATTGACGTCTTCTAACCGGGGGTGAAACATAGGGCATAGACATAAGATATCACCGCAATCTTGCTGACACTTAAAAAAGCCTTGCGTCAAAACAGAAGGAAGGGTGGAGTTGCCAACCAGCAGGCACTGGTGACTTTAACCAACCCAGGCTCGTGGAGTGTGACATTTTGGTTATTGCCGGCTTTTTATGACTGGCAATGAGGCAACCATTTAATCATATCAAGGCTCTCCCGCGTTTGTGGCTGCCTAGATTTATGTTTTCCACCTCACATCGGTTACGCTATTTTACGAAGTCAAACTATCACATGAATTTACAGACGCTTAAGAGCAGACCTAAGGGTGGACATTCAATGACAGCAATCGAAAGCAAGAGCGACAAACATATCAAGGCTATTGTGACAAATCCAAACGGAAATTAAAACAGTTTGCGTGACTATTATTTTCTCTAACTTAAACATTTCTCCCACTTTGCTCTTCAACCTTCAATTAACTGGGGTCTGTTTCTCCAATACAATTCTCCACACACTACTTTTGGTTCTTGTGGTCTATCTTAAGTTCCATCGTTGATAAATTTGAGTTCTACCTCAACCTCTCTAACCGCAAAAAAGCTAGATTTGATCGATCACTTTTGTAGTTAATTCTTCAGCTCCCTTTTCACAGCGCCACCAATGTGACACGCAAAGATGAAATGTGGAGCGGATGTGAATCACTTTGTTGGAAGCGGTAAGTATATTACAAATGGTGTCAAAGCTTTTGAATCGATTTCCCCTCACAACACAAGTTTTACCTTTACTTATCCTATAAGTATTCTCAAAACTACTACTTATAATCTATTCTCCAGCCTGATTCTTCTTCATGCCCTTCAGTTGCCTATTCTTTCATCCAGTGAGCACCCTCTCTCCGATAAAATCAGTCATCTTTAAACCATTTTACTCTTGTAAACCCAAGCACTGTACTTAATACGGAAACATGGTGCAAACTATCCATGTCTGGCCACTCCTTAAAATCATATTACTACGTTTTTCTTCGATCAAATGGACGTCGTAAAATAGGAGGTCGTGCAGTTATTTACGTCTGTTCGAATACTCAAGCATGTAAATTTGAGAACGAGTGTCTTAGTTGTACAGATGGTTACACTTGGGCTACCGTAAGTTGTGGGTAGCAAAATTATTTGCTGTTGGGATGTATATATAGACGACATCATGCAGATACCGATTTTGATAAATTGCTAACAAATTAATTTCCCATTGTTTCGCATCAAGCGCATACGTTTGAAAGCTTTTGAGTTAATTTAGGACTGCTGAACATCAAATAAAATTTGACTTCGGTACTAGGACGATATTACAATTTCGTTAAAACGTAGGACCTTGTGGATGGATCCTACAAGTCTAAAAGCCGGCTAAGAGGAATAATCGACTTGACTCAATATTTGCAACCAACATCGACCCTATCTTAGTGCACTCCGCTCATGAATTTTTATGAGTAGCCATAGAGACGTATTAAGTATTACTCATTATACCACTGAACTCTGAATCATCAACAATGTACCAGAGCATAAAGTTAGATCAGCAAACGTGGAAGCTTACTAGAACTCTTATTTAATGCTTACCATAAAAATATTACTTCAACGCAAATAATAGTGATACTGCGTTTTTTGACTTATACCACAATATGTCGTACTGACCTACTGCAATGCTTCTACTGTCGACCACGTGATTTATATTAGTAAAGGGGGTGAAAGTACGGTCAGAAACTTTGAGAAAAAACCGAGAAAATTGAAACTGCTATCACAAACATCATAACATTTACAGACTTTAGAGCACAGTAAACTAGATTAGCGGAAATGATTCATTTCAACGTCAGTATCTTGCGAACAAAGAGATTAAGTCTTTGGGTAATTAAAACCTGAAGTTATCAATACTTCAGTCTTTTAAATCTTGCATGAAATCGAGTCCTTTTAGTACAATCAGATTTCTCATAATTAATAGTAGCATTGTAAACAACCCATATACAATTTGCAAACAATTCAACCACCATTTCTCGCGATGATGAGACGAGTGAATCGAGAAATTTGTCAATATGCTTTCATTGCTAAAGTCTGAACATCTATCTATTATCGATTTTACATTCGCCAACATCAGACAGGCCATAACTGCCCTGAAGATGTCTTTTGACGGGGGACCTGATGGTATTCCTGCATCATTGGTAAAGTACGGTAGTACAGAAGTTCCATTATCCTATCTAAGATAATTCAACCTATCTACGGACTATGGGACCTATCCATCTGTATGTAAATCCGATTACCACCTATAGATTCAAAATGGAATCAAGCAGCGATATCGGTAACTACGGGCCCATCAACTTAGCATCCGTGCTAACAGAAACATCCACAAACAGCCATCATCCGTTTCGCTCTCTGCAAGCTTGACTAGCCCATCTCAACATTTGTTTATAACTAAACGTTCATGCTCTGCATTATACATAGAATTCATTGATCGGTTTAACGACTGAAACGACAATATTGGGCTTGAACGCAGAACGAACGAACGAAGATTTATCCGATTAAACTAAGTCCTTCTGTTTAGCGTACAAAACGTTTTTAAATTACTCGTATTGAATTATATCAGTACACAAACTCTGTGCTCAATTGTACACGGTTCTGATTTAAGAAAGAGAACGAATAATATCAACAATACAAAATGCCTCAAATGGTAAGTCTGTACTATGTAGTTAAGGGTTTCTATGACACAAATAAGCTCTCCGAACAGCAAAGGAATGGTTGAAACGAAAGAGTTTAATATCTGAGAATCCATAAAGATATTCCCAACAAGATGTGATCGGATTTCTATCTGCAGGGATTCCAGCAATCCTACCAAACAGACAGTCAAACGTTAACAGCCACACATTGGACCATGCCGTGGCTTTAAGCCTAATCAAACACGACCTTATTATCAATAGTCCGGCAACAAGCAACAGAAAAATTAGATAACAAAATGTCAGTCTGTAATCAAAATCACGTAATAAAATCTGAGACGAGAATGATTGAAGAACATAAAGTGTGGTTAAGGAAGATTTGAATAATGGATAAAATATACAACAGGGAGAAGAAACAAAATAAATGACAGTACTTTCCAACGAAGTGCTATCAATTGATTTTCGGAGGTTTCTTTCTGCTGCAATCAGATTACTCAGAGAAGAGATGTTGGTTAGTCACCGATAATTTTGTACTATTTCCATAAGGACTTCGACACTGTTTCACACAAACTTCTAAAGTTTTCTTCCTTTGGTGTACAAAATCCCTACTTGTTCTGGTTCAAATTTTTTTTAGCAGAACGCAGCTAGATCGTTCTATTTGTATCTTGCTACTCTAAGCCTATGAATGTAATCAGTGCAGTTATACAGAGAAATGTGGTTGATCAATTACTCTTTTATCTTTTTATCAGTGACATGTGCCCACTCTCTCAGTTCGATAAATATTTCCTCTTGCTGACGATCTAAAAGTGGTTTATTCATTCTCGCCTCCGAACAAAGAAAGTTATACCACAGCCTCAATCCAAGAAGACATGAACAAGTTATACGAATGGGTTGTGTCGTGGAATCTGTAGGTGAATGTTGATTAAAGTGAATTTATTCACATGGTCCGCATACATCCCCTAATTCTGGCACTAAACAAACATATACTGAAACCTCTAAACACTGTTTATGACTTGGGTTCGAGATAAAGCAACCGTTTGAACTTTGGCGAGCACATTGCATCTCAACTACCAAAAGCAAGAAAGCTCAATGGATTCCTCATGATAAATTTCAATAACAGAAAATCGAGATTGCTACTGAACAAAGAATGTGTTTAACCTATTCTTAAATATGATATTACAGTTTACAGTAGTTGACATATTCTTAAGGACTAAGGACGATATTTCACAATTATTTACTAATATTTGATTTTTACATCAATAAATATACCTAGGTGTCTACATAGAGAAATCAGTAATCCACTGATAACAGATACAGAAGTTCGTTAAACGAAAGTTGCTTTTATTTCGTCCACAATCATTTGTCTATTCAACTCAAGGTCGTCTGAGGCAAAATATCAGGCAAATTTGATCGTCTGACTTCATGTTTAACTTCGAGTTGGATTATGTCCGAATTACCGTATTGTATTGTGTATTATATAACACTTATGTTTGATCAAGTGTTGTGATCCTTGTTTCTTTTTACATAAGAGACACATATTTATTGCCTTTTACTGTCGTTTGTGTATAAACGATACTGTGCATAGTTGATACTTTCCAATCTCCCTATTTCGGGAAAAATTTTGTCCGTTTTAGGTAAGATTTGAGAAAGCCGCTACAAAAATATCTGGAGAAATGACGAAACCTCAAAATTTTCCCAGGCCTGAGGAAAATCCAAAAAGTTATGTGGAAATATACGGTTTTCCCCAATATTTCTCCATAATCTTATGACACCTCGGTAATTTAAACTACCAAATTTCTTAAGACTTCGGGGAAAATCCCGAAGTTTACCCAAAATAGCAAGGTTGTGTTCCTAAACAACCAATGGAGAGGAAATATATTTCCTTTATAAAGGAATGCAAGGTGGAGATAAAGTTTACATTTCGTTAGAAAATAGAAGAAAAATAATGGGGAAACGCGCCAGTGTCCGCCTTTTCGCTTGTCGTGGGGAAATGATGCAGAATTTACTTCTTTTCGTTCCGAATGTCGCTGAGTTCTCTACTTTTGTTTAAATACACCTCATTGTCCATTTTTTGCCTAACTACATACATGTATATACGCATACATACAATATAAACAGAAAATCTGACAATGGAAAGCCATGACACACTCCACTTGAGGTAGACGATTCCGGTAAACCTCGTCATAAACTCTGATTCGACCAGTAGTGTCAGAGTAAAGAACCTTCACGAGGTTAATATACTTCTTTGGTACACCTTTCAGTGATAAACTCGGTCACAAAACCTCTCAGTCGACAAAGTCAAATGCTTCCTTGTGGTCATGAAATACAATTATATTTGTTCGCCAGTAAGTATGCCTGTGTTGCAAGATCTCACGAAAAGTGAATATTCAGTCCATGCATTCACGTTCCCGTGTGAAACTATCGTGATGTTCCTGAGTTCACTTCTGACTAGTTCTAGTTAAGCGTCAGGTGATTATAGATACAAATATTTCAAACACTGTTAGTCGAGCTGACTTGTTTGTGGTTGTCACAAGAAGATTGCTATCCTTTTTTATAAACTGAAAATCAGCGACCAAGATCAGTCACAATGGAGTACATCCTACTCCCAAACTCTTACTAGTATTCCAGTCATTCTAGCTGATCAGAGTTCAAGCTTGTGATTGGAAAGAAATTTCGGTCTTTTGTCAAACCTTCCAAAAGATGGGTGATGGTGATATGACCTATTTGTGTCCACCGTTGTGTTGATTTCGGAATGTACCAGTTCACACTCTATCTCTTGTTATTTCCAAAGTTTGTAGTTGCTAGGACTAAGCGGTTGTTTGAGCGTAGTTAGAGGAGACGGTCACCGTTATCTGCTGCGTTTTCCTGTTATGCCCTCAGGCACAATGAAGTATTTTTCAGTTTGGTTTAGCGTACGGATGTGTGCGTTACAGTGATCTGCTACTACTATTTTGTAAGAGTGCCTGGTTTCTTTGGTGTCGTAAAGTTTTTTTGTAAAAGTCCTTTAGTACTCCATCTAAGGTAAAGTTATCGGAACTTTGGCAGAAAGTGTGGTTTGTCAGTATATTTCAGCGTTCCTACTATACTGTTGAGATGGACAGTAAATAAGCGAAGTTACTAACTGTATTTGGCGATTTGTGTATGTAAATTTCTTAATGTTAAAAGTATAAAATTATCCTGAAAAGATTTTTTTTTGCAAAAATGGTATAAAATTACTGTAACTGTAAATTCAGATTGTTTACTGTTGGTTGAGCATAATTCTCGTCAATTTTTATGTCATTGTTCGTCTCTAGATCATTTAAGCCTTTGAACTGAAATAAAAATGGTTCGTATTGAATTCATACGTAGATTGCGACTATTCACAGTTTTACCTCGAATGTCAGATTATGACAATCGATTTGGTATAACCAAACTAATGATGCCAGTTGTTTCACGTCCTGCTTCATTTTTTTCTTTCATCAAGTCGAAGCTTAATGAAGCTTCCTCTAGTCAGTCTAAAGACTCTCAGAGTGTACCAAATGACAGGTAAGTTGGATCCATCTTGAAATTTTCTTGTTATAACAGATTAATTTTTCATTGATTATCGATTGCCAGAAATCTGATCTTGTTTCTTGTACGATTAACTAAATTTTCTGGTTGCTAAGATGTCAATTTCATGATGATTAATTTTATACCTTATTGAAAAGCAAAAATGTTTAGGACGACGGGATATCACACTAAACGAAGTGATATTTTTGTAAAGAAAAGAAAAAGTTAGCCTTATGGTTACAATAAGGACTATAATACTAAAAGTGATGATTCACATTCAAATATAACCAAGGTGGATTTCTTTCCCCTCAAAATATATCTTACTGTCTATGAAAAACAGAAACATGTTTAATGATGTCTCAACCTACAAATTTTCGTAATATCTATAACCTCCACATAGTCTTGATGAACTAACAAGTCTTTACCTGATAGTGCGATGCTTCATATTTCAATATTATTCTTAAGAATGACAACTGCAGCCAGCTTCACAGTTAAGCTACAGTCATATGTAAAGCGTTTTCAAACTCCTTAAGCGAACGTTGTACGATAACTCCAGTAATTTAGTTATCTCCAATATACTGTGACACGTCACCTAGTCTCTTAATAGAATGTAGGGTGAGTAATACTATGAAAGCAGAGATGGTCCAACAGAAAACTGTATAACATGCTTAGCTCAAAGCTCATGCTTCACAAAAGTATAGTATAGGTACTGATACCAAAGTGTTGCACACCGGACCTTATATTGATTAGACTAACATGATAACAGTGCTAAATATGTCACTGTCCACCACACTATTACCACACACATCTACTTAAAAACCTTCTGTACTATTCCCAATGCCTCACGACAGTAGAGAGTTTGCATAGAGTCCTCATATTCTTGTATAGTTATTGTACACTTCAGTTATACAGGCACCTGTCTATCATACTGAATAATATCTTTAATGCAAATGTCTCCAAAAATTTTCCAACGTAATTACGGCGGAATAAATACATTTATCACTATTTTCTAAATAGTCCAACAATCGCAGCTTAAATGATAAATCAGACCTTCAACAGCATGTTGTGCCCCCAAATGCCCTGGTATGGCCGAGAGTGGGGAGAGTCCGCTCTCCCTCTCGAAATGCTCTCACATGGCCACGCGCATACAGCCCCTGCCAGGGAAGTCCTACTCACTGCCTTCTCGCACTACGAGTGTTGTTTACGAAAATGAGAGGACGAAAAGCAAATGTCCGGCATCGGCTTTAACCGGATCCCAAATCAATGGTACACATGGGCTCCAGTATCCTGCGGGAACAAATGGCGTATGAATCAATCGTTGGTCACCGGCTACCATGTGACTGCATCTCCTTACGATGCTCCACTGCCTTGTGAATCAGATCTTCAGGTCAAAGGCTCGGGGTGTGGCCCCCTAAGAAAACCACTTGCTTCGGTCTGGGCACCCGGTCAGTATCACAGCCCACACACACAAATAAAATGAAAATTGTGTGGCGCATATGTATTTGGTGCCAGCATGTACCAATATCTATGTGTGAAAATAAAATAAAATAAATTAATTAATATCAGTTGTACAGTTCAAAAATATTCTCTCTTGTAAAGTGAACCTATAGAACATGAACATACGATAGTTGTAAACTTTAATGTTTCATCATTCTTAGAGTATTTATAATACTACTAGGTGAAGCGTTCATAAGAAAAAAATTTTTCCATACTTTTTTAAAAATCTCTATTGATTAAAAATTGAAACATCTTATGAAAACCTTATGTCTTTATTTGCCTCTGAGCTATATCAAAAGTTATCGGTTTTCTTATATAAGCTCATCAGACATGATAAATTTAGTTGTAGACACTAGCTTAAGCTGCTTCTTAATTGATCTTAGCAAACAAAATACACTTAATTTTCGTCACTACTCGGTATTATTTCATACAGAATGTTTTACCACTCATTCTAATTTCATTAAATTTAATTCGATGTATCGCTTCGTGTTTATGTTTTCTTTTGTTTTGTTGTTAAGAGATAATCTGTTAATTTTATATCAAAAACTTGTAAATTAATGGTTTAGTTTGCTACTAATCAAAATAAAAGGACTTACAGTTGAGATGAGTGTAACAATTTCTACGTTAGTACATTATTATTCCAATCTTTTGTTCAGTTTCATTTAACTTGCTCAGATTTAGAAACTCAACTAACAGAAAAATACCGGTCAATTATAGCCTGACTTTTATTAAAACTCTACTCATTGTTTTATGTAAGTAGCTTAACTTATTTTTATTTATTTATTTTAGCACATAGGTATTGGTACAAGGAGGCACCAAATACATATATGCCTCACGAATCTCAATTGACTTGTGTGAGGGCTGTGATACTGCCCGGGTGCCCAAACCGAAGCAGGTGGTTTTCTTAGAGGGCCACACCCCGAGCCTTCTACCTGAAAGTCTGATCCACAAGGCAGTGGAGCATCGTAAGGAGATGCAGTCCCATGGTAGCCGGTGACCAACGATTGGTTCATACGCCATTTGTTCCTTCAGGACACTGGAGCCCATGTGTACCATTGATTTGGGATCCGGTTATAGCGCCGGACATTCGCTTTTCGTCCTCTCATTTTCGTAAACAACACTCGTAGTGCGAGAAGGCAGTGAGTAGGACTTCCCTGGCAGATGCTATATACGCGTGGTCATGTGAGAGCATTTCGACTACTAAAAATTACTTAAATTAAAAGTTTGTTATTCCTTCTTTGTAAGCATCAAAATTGTATATTTCTGAGATATCATGAAACACTACTTCGGTATTGATTTATTTGCTTTTTAACGTAACTATTTGGGAAATGTTTAGCATTTTGAAGAATATACTAACATTCAATTTTTGTATTTTATTTCACTCCAAACATTTTAGTGAGTGGTTGGATGCGGTTCAAGAAGCTGAAAAATCGGAATTGTTACATTTGAAAGAGTCTGATACTAGTATGACTAGGACAGAACTTCGAAAATGGAAGAAACGTACATTCCTTGTAAGCAATATTCACAAGATGTATTTTCCTTTATCGTAATTACATACACTTGTTATATATGATCTTTCAAAGTGTTAGCTTCATTATAATTTACTTGAGTTATTATCAACGTAAAATCCAAACACTATGAGTGTGCACCTGTCCAAGTTATCATACCTCATATCAGAGTAGCTAGCGGAAATCAACAAATTGAGGAGAATCGGATGAGAAGTAACATGGAAAGCAGTTATTCTCATACTCATTCTGATTATTTTCTCGTCTAATTTGATTCCTGACCTTATAGTTATCGATAATTTTCTGTAACAAGTTGATAAATTTGGTCTGTTTCAGTATGGTTATTGATTGTCTAGTGGTTTTCCTCTATATTCTCTTTATCCGATACGTCAACATTTTTCCAGTCGAACACTTGTCCACAATTAGAATTTCTAGCAACTCGTAGACATCAAGCAACAAAAATTATACTTATTAACATGAATTCTAACAACGATCGTTGACTCCATAAATTGATAATATCTTTATCTGGCTGTCGCTAGTTATTTTTCCCTCTACATCCAATCAGCAACATACTTTAGAAGAAAAGGCTAACATAACGTATTTCTAGTCAGTTGTTACTATATCCTCTACTTCACTCCGCATTTCATTAATTTCGTCTCTATCTATCTCTCACTATGTTGATTTGACGTGTTACGATATGCACCAATAATATGCATGTATACCATATTTATAATTCTTCTATGACTGATTAAACAACTAATAACATGCAATACCTAAAGTTTGTACTTTTATCTCTTGTTATATTATTACAGCATATTTTAGAAATGTTTATTCAACGATCAGGACCAAGTCGTAAAGGATTCACTTCATTTATTGAAAATGCACTAATTAAAATGCCTGAATATGAAGTGGTCGATGATTTGGATTGTTATAAAGCAGTAATTCGTTTATTTCCTACTGGACGAATGACTGTGAAACGTTTCTTACAAGCTGATTTTGGTCATTTCCCAAAACAACAACAAGTTATGATTGACGTATTAAGTCAAATGGCAAGATATCGTGAGTTGAATCTTTTTATTCTATAAAAAAATACTTTTTTTTACATCAGTATAAGTGTTCTATTGTGACTCTTTTAGTCTGATGATTTATAGATCCGGAATTTAAAGCAATAGGCATTGAGTTTGAATCCTTTTGTGATTATCCACATTGGTATGTAGATAAACCCAGCTTATGAATCATGTATCCATAGCCAACTTTCAAGTATAGGGATTATGTAGCCATGCATTTAAGGAGCCCATATATTGTCAGATAAATCAAATTCAATACTGAATATCAAAGTGAATAAAAAGAACAAACCGTTACAATTAATTGTAAGTGTAATTCATTATTCCACATGATCAGCGATTGTTTGCTATGTCATAGTATACAGCCAAGATTAATAGCATTTAGGTAGAGATGGTTAATAATATTAAATAGACTGATCAATTCATGTAGTATCTGATTGATATTTTCAACTTCAGGCTTAAGTGTAGGCATTTTTGTCCGACAATTAGAATCAGTAGCCTGGGACAATTCTTAAAGACATTCAATGATAGACATTATAGTCCAAGATGCCGAACTGCATACATTGCGAATGAAAATTAACAGTTATATTCATTCTCAGACTTTTCTTCCTTCTTCAGTCTCATTCATTCCTTTTGAACTGTCTTGAAGTATCGTCGACTTCCATCGCATTTATGAAATTAATTTCTCTGCTTCTCTTGTTGATTTGTCCTGATGTTACAAATCAAACTTAAATTGATACATATTCGTGGCAGATTTCCATTTGATAATGATGATTGACAACTGTCACCCACTAGAATGAAGTATTAAAATCTATTTTTATAATTAATCTTAACTTGGTACGTTTGAGGAAACCTACAATTAGATAAAAATATAGTTTTTGCTCGTTCCCCAGTATGGAATAATATCGATTCTATTACCAAACAGATTCGCTCAACCACTTCACTCACTTTACTTATATCAATCAGTTCGTTATAATAAATGCCAACAGCGTTTAGTCTGATGTACTGATGATGAACTTTTAAATTACGAGACTACTAATTATTAATCAGAAGTATATCTATTTAACACACTTCTCTTACTGAATCATATCTCTTTATTTATTTATTTATTTGAACACATAAATATTGGTACAAGAGGGCACCAAATATATATGCGCCACACAAGATTTTATTTGTGTGTAGGCTGTGATACTGTCCGGGTGCCCAGACCGAAGCAGGTGGTTTTCTTAGGGAACCACACCCCGAGCCTTTGACCCAAAGGTCTGATCCACAAGGCAGTGGAGCATCGTCCCATGGTAGCCGGTGACCAATGATTGGCTCATACGCCATTTGTTCCTTTAGGATACTGGAGCCCATGTGCACCACCGGTTTGGGATCCGGTTAAAGCGCCGGACATTCGCTTTCCGTCCTCTCATTTTCGTAGACAACACCCCCACCACGAAAAGGCAGTTAGTAAGAATTCCCTGGCAGATGCTATATACGCGTGGCCATGTGAGAGTATTTCTAGAGGGAGCGCGGGCCCACATCACTCTTGGCCATACCAGGGCATTTGGGGGCAATCCTATCTCTTATGCCTAATCTTTTCTATTATCATTAATACTGTTACTACTCTGGCATCTTGGTGCGCTGATATATGGAAACTTAAACTGACGCATATATGTGCCAGATTCTACAGTGCGTATAAATGTCAGATGAGTATAGCTGCAAAAATAAGGAAATGAAATTGTGAAGCAAAAGAGGAAGGCGGGGGGGGGGTAAAATCAAAGTAAGTAAAACCGTAAAAATAGATGAGTAAAGTTCAAAAATTAGTGAAAGAAACAGTTGAGTTATAAATACGACCAGAAAGAGTTCTTCCAACCAAGAGAGTTGCTTTCATTCTTCATGGAGAATGTAAAAGAGAACTACAATAGGATCTATGTTGAATCCCATTCTAGCCATGTCTGATGATGTCTCAAACCATTGGATTGGACTATTTCCGAAATCCCAACTAGGACTGACAGATTTTAGTCCTATACAGCTTTCTTTGATACCTCGGCATCATGACATAAACGACCGTCAATGAGGTCCAGTCGATTGTTTCTGCCCGTGCTATATCTCTTAGTTCGACACCAGCGCCAGCTAAACCGAATTATGGTACGATCGTATCCTTGGATAAGCACCTATAAAACAAATTTTCCGAATCGACAGATGGGAAACCAATTTGTAGCTTTCCTTCAGAGTTTCGAATACTGTCTGCCAGGTGAAAAACATCAACTTTAAGACATGTCTGTTTTCCTATCTGTTACAGTGTCCTGACCTTGGATAAAGTCTGTTAAAGTGGTACACATGGCCTCAGAAAAGTTTATTCAAATTTTGTATTCGATAGTAGCATTCAGATATTTGACACATTCAACGACTTGAGATAGTTTATACAGAATAGAGTTTTCTATATAAATGAGTTACTGAATGAGTTGAATAACAGTTGACACAAAATGAGAATAAAAAGGGACAAAAGGTTGAAGCAAAGTAATTTGATTTTTGTTTTACGAGTCGATTATAGGTATTGGTTGAATGAGTGATGGAATGGAGAGAATAAAATAGCCTTCTTTTCAAATTTATATTTGCAATCATTAGAATTTCCGTCTCGGTTGGATTAATTTTGATAACGCAGTGTATATACAGTTAAATTATAGTAGGTTTTTGTATACCTTATGTGAAGTTTTTTGATTATTACGTTGAAATTCACTAGACGTCTTGCCAGATGATGAAGTTGGCCAAATGATTATCGACGTTTTCGGTTGGCGTAATCATGCTATGCGAACTTATCGTCGTCTAATGTATTGGATGCCTAAATTGTATTATAGTAATCCATGGACATTACCACATCGAATCGTTGACGATCTTGATTTAGATCCCATTAAATTAGGCTGTTTAATTGCTGAAAGAATATGCCCTGATCGGATGACAGAATTCACTGTTGTACAGGTTAGTTAATTAAACAGAAATTAGCGTCTATCAATCAATACAATTTTATAAAATGCCTGCGTCAGTCAGTCATAATCATTGTAGAGTCTGACACATTTGTGACTTAACCCCAAGTTCTCGTACCACATCAGAACAATCAGATGAAATTGCCAACATGAATAATAAATGGGTCGAAACGGTGTAGCAGCAATACTGACAAGGAAGACTAAACATTGAGAGTAAGATTTGAAAAGACTGAATGAAAACGTAGTAGTGGAAGAATGTTGGAACTCAAAATCTTTAGAGGAAGATAAAAAGTGAATGAATCTGCGTCTTTGTGACCGATTCTGAGTCATATTAATCAAAATCTTGCGCAAACTCAAGTTTGAGTTTAATTTGAACGTAATTTTCATCACTTACTGACGTCCAGCTAGAAGACCCCTACAAAACAAGGACACTTGACAGTTATTTCGGTACTCACAGTCAGTAAGAATTCAGTGATCTGAAAGTTTTGGCTTAACTAGGAAATTAAGAGCATAGGGCCCCAATGCTGATCTGTACTATCAAGTAAAATACAATTGGGTCCGATTTGAGGTCGTTGATACTCAATGCCGAGGAGTTTCATATCAGGAAAACACATCCATTTAATACTTCCAGGTTCTCAATAGTGGTTTAATATTGATCGGTTCACGATTTAAAGTAAACACTGCTGTAAAACCCAACAAAAATGCACTCAAGTTCATTCAACCATTACTTATTTACCCAAAACAAAGTAGTTAAATTAGTTTCAACCAATGATGCAATGGATGAGTGGTAAGTACTTCAAGTAATGAATTACAAGTTCACACATTCAGCATGACCACCGATGTTGTGTATAGGTAGAAGCCAACTTTGGTTGGTTGATGTTCTAGACAGACAGTCAAATATATCCGATGTGTAATCTGTTTTTTATCCTCTGTATTTTTTCATAATATGTGTTAGTCAGGAGAGTAATGTTTTCTTAATGGGATTTCATTTGACATGTGATGCCTTGGTCGCTGTCTGGATATCTATTATGATACGTGTTAATTGCGTACTTAATATTTATCATTCTATTGCTCATTTGAAGAAATCTAGTGTTCTAAAAAAAGTTAAACTTCATTTCAATTGGTTACTATTGATTGGACCCATTTTTCTATACGTAACTTATTCTCTCATCACTTTTTATGCTGCTTATTGATAAAAAAGGTTGTTTGGTTTACCCTTATGCTTTTAGTAGTATTTCACTAAGAATTAGATTATTTTAAGATTCAGTAGAGATTTCGAAATTTCTGCTTACCCTAATCTACTATTAAAATTCATACTTTTTCACGACAAAAATTTATCATGGACAAACAATCCGTATTCTCATCATGATCATTGCCATTCTCTTAGTAACCAAATAACCTTCTAATATCTTAAACTTGTTATATGCCTTTCAGAATCATGTGCATATTTTATGTATACAGAATAATTGTATCATCCTTTTCATTTTCAGGAAAATTGCTTACGTCTGTGACCCGTCGTAGGAGCATAGACCGCCAACCAGGATTTTCCAACCAGCTCTGTCTGGGCTGTCCTTTCCAATTGTTTCCATTTGCTATTCATTCTTTTCATGTCTGTCTCCAATTCCTTTCTCAATATGCCTTCGGGATTGTAAGTTAGGGCTTACCTTGTGATACGGTCTGATGATTTTCACAGTGTATATCTTATCCGCCTTCGGCGTCTTTCTGGTTTCCTCTTTAGCTGGAAGCTGATTTGTTCTCTCCCACAGTGGGCTGTTGCTGATGGTATCCGATCAACGGACATTGAGTATGTTGCGTAGACAATTGTTTATAAATAATAACTAGTGTGCAACAGCATCTCTCTCGAATCCTATCTTTTCTGTCCAGGTTGGGTCTAATGGGTTCCACTTATTCCGAGCACCGCCAAGTTGTATCTCCTCATTCCCGCAGCTATTTGACCGGTCCTCTTAATTTCTGACTGTCCGAACATTTCACGTACCTATATTAATTGTTGCCCTGGTTGTTGAAAGATGGAGTGGCATAATGACTTCTGAAGAATCTCGGTTTTCATCATGAGGCGTAATAATTCTCCTAAATGAAGATCCTTCAACTTCCAGGGTAGAGAATGAATAGTGTAAATGGTTTTTTCTCGTTAGCGTTTTTTAACAAGGTTGTTTTCTATGGAATTGGGTTGGTGATCCCATGCAAAACCTTCTTTTATCCGGACTTAGGACTGGCAGTAACCCTAAAAGGACTACTGATAGAGTTTTTAAGAAGAATGATTGCTGTGATGTGTAAGGACGATCAAAGTGTGAATTAATGCCACTACCACGGATCAACCGCGTATTATTCATATTGTAGCATTAGATTTTCTGCGCATTAATATTGGAATACATCATGCTAAATGCGAATATCTAATGTAACCGGGTATCTTTTTGATCTTTCTTGTTTTCACCATGGTTGTTGAACTTCTTTTTTCGCTGATATTTTTTAGATGTCTTCATCTAATCCTGATAGACCAGATTCACTTGTCAGTGCTCAAAGTCCTGAACAGCGTGCATTACTAGCATATTGTACTAATAAACAAATTCACAATGATCAAATGAATAATACTCAATGTACAAAACCAACGATTTATTTAGATGGACCACATTATGTTTGGTTTAGAAATTTACAAGTAAGTGGAATTGATATACTATAAATTAATCATATTCAATCAATTTTCACAATATATATATATATATATATATATATATATATATATATATATATATATATAATTTTACTCTATTTGTGAATAAGTAAAATGGTTCAAGTATGTTTACGAAGTTTGTTTTATCTAATATATAGTTGTTTTCGCTTCTATATCCGCTAATCCAGCTGTTAGATATCTAAATATGAAGTAAATCCGATTCGTTGATATCAATGTTTTCTTAATATCTATAGGGTCGTTTGAGATATGTACTACTTATCAAAGGAATGAAAAATGGCTATGGATTATGACTTCATCTACTGTTATAAAACATTTCTCATAGAAAATTTAGCAAACTAGTTTAAGTCCAGAAAGGATTAACTCAATTACAAATCCATTTAAATTATTACTAAGTTAGTTATAATCAATGTGAGATATGGGACAAATGTTCTAGTTACCTCGCGTCATATCCATACAAAGAGATAAAATTAACAAAATATCAAAAGAGTCGAAATAATCATAGCATCAGTGGTGTTCGTCAGGCCTGTCTACTCTCTCCATTCTTGTTTAACTTTGTCGTTGACGTGCTTTTAGAGATAACACTTTCCTCATCTAAATTTCCAGGAGTTGAGCTTTTACCAGGTGATTCACTTGTTGACTTAGAAAATGCTGATGACATAGTTCTATTTGGTGAAGACGCTGACAAATTACAGAGTCTTCTGACCACCGTAAACAACAATTCAGGCATGTTCGGGATACGATTCTCCCCTCGAAATGCAAAATGTAGCTTTAGGATTGGGTTACATTGGCACCTGAATTAATGATAGGGAGTGAAGTAGTTGAGCGTGTCGACCGCTTCACTTATCTTGGGCGTCTCATCAACCCAAAGTCCAAAGTCTCCGACCAATGGTTACGATATTTTCACGGAACCCGAGGGCATTATGTACACCTACCCATATGGCTCTGTCCAAGAGACAGTGACTTCACGGACTAATGACACGTTTTGATTTGGCCACCCTAGACTATCTCCTAGCCTACTACACTAGACAAAATGGCCCGTCGAGGTAAGCGGTTGTTAGGCATGCACAACACGTGTCCTAGTCACCTCAATTCATGAAAATCCACTGCCTCGTTAACTGATTTACCATGTTTACCTAGTACTCAATGTCTAACTTTAGCATTGATTACTCGATAGTCCGAAAACCAGTGTTAATAAATGGTGTGGTGATGTCGCTGTTGTAAATTCTTTACAAACGCTTGTGTCTTTACTACTAGACTCTTTATTGTTTCGGTCATTTTATATGTATCTTGTTTTCATTTTATCCTTGTTCTGAGTTGGGACAAGTTGAGTGAAATGTAGTGGTTATAGATACCAAACAAATGGAGTCGTAACATGGGGTCAATATAATCCTCTTTTTTCTCCTTACTTCTTCATGCATAGGCTGCTTATTACACCTTATGGACAGAGATCGATGCTGATCGATTAAAAAAAGAAATTAATACAGTAAAAGTTAACCAAGTGCCAAAGCATAGTGCAGACGGTAAGTGTTTATTTCCGTTAAAGATCCTGTTGTTGTGTTTTTCATGTTATAAAATGGTTTCATATAAGGTAGTCGATCAAGACACATTATTATAATCTTACATACTCTATTAACTACTAACTTCGGTACTGCATTTATTCACACGATCATTTGACCACACGTCCTCAAACCTCCAATCAACAAACACTATAAATCCCAGATGAATGATTGTATGTATCTTCCCAGATCACAACACCACGAAGTACAAGATACAACGACAGCTAGTAAGTTGAGCCAGCAGTTAGAACTATATAATAACTCATCACGGAATAACCATTCAAGTTTGATATTTCCTTTTTGCTTACTTTTCTTAATTGACATACATGTTGATTGAATCGTTCCATAGATAGACTTGAAAATTTGCCATTCAGAATGTTAAGATTATTTTTTTTTCAGCTATATATGCTTTGAAGTGTATATGATCTGTAATCAGTCTTTAAGGAAAGTAATCGTAAGATGATTCTCTTTTAGAAGATTTTCACCTGAAATTGTTGTTGATTTCACTATCATATGAATTAAATTATCAATCGATCTCTGTATTCTATCATATGGCTTAAAGTCTAATAAGTTTATGCATTGAACATGTTTTACTTTACTCACCTCTTAGTCTAATCATCAGTGTTCTGGCATTTTCGATTCCGTATGGTATCATTTAACTAATGTTCAAAGTTCTCAAATAACTGTCAAACCCAACTCATTCAATTGGAATCATGACAAAAGCACTTAATATTCTATATTAGTATTTTAAAGATTTAAAGTATTAGTTAATCGAACCAGATTAAATGATGCCTTATCCCACGGATATCCGTCTCCGGCGGTAAGGTCTCAATAAGTACGGCGCTAACACAAAAACTACTCATAAAAAGTTCGTATGTGACTGACCTCAAGCAGCTGTCCCTTGGGCACTGCGGTCACGCTCTCAGGTCACTATGACCAACTCTAATCCAATTTCCTTCTCAGGTACATCCAGAAGAACCCTTCCACAGTGTGGGCAACTGGGAAGTGATAACCGCCCTCATACCTCTAACATCACTCAAGACCACTGTATTCATAATCAACCTCCCTCTAATGATTCCATTTTATGATGAAAATTGCCCCCAAATGCCCTGGTACGGCCGAGAGTGGGGAGAGTCCGCTCTCCCTCTCGAAATGCTCTCACATGGCCACGCGTATACAGCCCCTGCCAGGGAAGTCCTAATCACTGCCTTCTCGTGGCGGGGGTGTTGTTTACAAAAATGAGAGGACGAAAAGCGAATGTCCGGCATCGGCTGTAACCGGATCCCAAACCAATGGTGCACATGGGCTAGCTCCAATATCCTGCGGAAACAAATGGCGTATGAACCAATCGTTGGTCACCGGCTACCATGGGACTACATCTCCTCACGATGCTCCACTGCCTTGTGGATCAGATCTTCAGGTCAAAGGCTCGGGGTGTGGCCCTCTAAGAAAACCACCTGCTTCGGTTTGGGCACCCGGGCAGTATTACAGCCCTCACACAAATCAATTGAGATTCGTGTGGCGCATATGTATTTGGTCCGTCTTTGTACCAATACCTATGTGTTAAAATAAATAATAAATAATAATGATGAAAATTATTCTTAGACTTCATATTCATACCTCCAATAAATCCCAGACTAAAACAAAATGAATGTCTACCATATTTTAGTTTCCATTGGTTACCCGGTTAGTGTTTATTCCTGATGGACAGTACACCTGATCACTTATGCTGAATTATCTCAATAAAATTACTTCAAACGTTTCAACCAATTACATCATTGCGCCACTGATCATTCCGTTTATTTTCTATATTTCTCTCTTAAATTTCAAATTATCTTCAATACTTACAGTAGGGAAATTATTAACTAAATTGCAATCCATTTATTAATTAGACTGTTAAGGCTGTTCAATGGATACTCATAGTGAATAGCACCAGATATTTTCTGAAACTTGTAGAAAACCAAAAAAAAAGATTCATAAAGGAGTTCTATTTACACATAAATGAAGTGTTTTAGTGAAGATCGTAAAAGTATTATACAGGGGCAAGATGACAGTGATACTTTTGTATTACTGGCAAGATCGAGTGCATATCATCTTTTGTGTTTTGAAATTGCTGATTTTTTTATCTGAGTGATTGTTAATTATTTAAATATGGCAAGATCGTCGACGCATGTAATCCCCGCAGATAGGTTGAGTATTTTTAGTACTGTAAACAGATCCGTTACTATAGATAGAAACTATTGTCAAAAGGATAAGATTTGTTCAAATGAAGTTTATATGACCTTGGCTCGCATATTTATTGTACAGACAACGTAAAATAATTAATTCTCCATTTCATAATCAAAATGTACTACTTATATCTTACATTTTTCATGTGCATTTTTATACATTTTCATTTTATAGAACCGTATAATCTTTCATTCTTCAACTATTCTAATGATAGTTCAAATATAGTATTAAATAGTTCCAATTCACAAAATGTAAATCGCTCACTTTTTCCACATATGAGTCTTCTTCCTACAGTGAATTCAACTGGTACTGAATTGCATCATTCTAATGAAGATAATATTTTTACAAGATTTATAAGTAAGTGTGAACCAGAATTTGATAAACGTTGGCTTTCAATTCGTCAAAGTCATGTCTACAAATATTTACCATCTAATCTATGTCAACATGAACAAGGTGAGGGTACAATACTTGCTGTTGGAGTTGTTGTACCTAAACCAGATGCTTTGGATAATCAGAAAAAGTTATATGATTGGGAAGTTTCTAACAGAATTCATCATACAAATTCAAAAGATTGTAAACAACAAAATCAAAAAGAAAGATACAATTTACCACAAATCCCATCACCTGCATCTCCCGCACTTATTCGACTTTGGTTAAGTGAACTACACGCTAAAAATCCTTTCTTTGATGATGCTGCATTAGTTATTCGAGTTCCAATGAATATTGATCAAAGCCAAAAATCTGAAAATAATAATCGTACTGATGATGATGATTTACATTCAGAGAATCAAGATAAGGATATTAAGTATAAATCGTATTATTAACGAGCACATTACATTGTGTAAATAAATTGTTTGCGTCTTTTCTTTTGAGTAAACAATAATAATTATGTTAATTAAAATGTACATATAAACCTTAATGTTGATTATCAGTTTTGGACTATTTTCCATATACTAGTGGAATTATTGTTAAAGCATATGCTTTTTCTTCATGTATTTTACACATAATACCTATCCCTACCTGTTAGAGTAACAATGATCAATCACAAGTGGGGACTGTGATTTTGTGATTGTTTAATATCTTAATGAATGTATCCTAGTTTAATTTATTCATAGTTTTGCATTAAGACCAATTGATACTTTGTAATTTGTCTTATTTTTGTCTTGATTTTAAGTTTTACTGAAATATACACTCAAGATTAAATAATATTGAAGGACAGTTTTACCTCGCGATAGTCATCTGAAAAACGTTAGTTTATACTTCGAATCCGCAAATCATAAACCTATACTTTATAGTAAATGCAAACAAGACAAAAAAATGGCCATTTACATTTGACCAAGAGGGAAGTTAAGTACGAGGATCGATAGGGACATACAAACCCGTGATTAACCAGTTAGTCTCTGATAAGCAAAACCAGTTTCCCAGATAAGATCAGTTGGCAGCATATAAGCAATCAGATGAGATTTCTGGTCAACCTCAAATTTCAAAGGATCTTGAGTGAGCGAGTATCCCTATTTTAAATTCTGAAATTAGGTGAGGTGCGTTCTGTCACACAGGTATTATTAGGGTTAAGTGGTCGGTATATGTTCAAACGCTGGTATCCTGTTCAAAGTTGTATTCCAACGAAGTCTCAGTTGTAAAAATCCAAAGAATATCAGTACTTGTTTCCCATTGTATGGCCAAAATGATATAAGTCATGTTGGCTCAAAGAATGCCTGTCTTATTGGTAAGAGCTAGTAGCTCACTTTCGTTGTCTGTTAGCCACCGTTTGACTGAAGTTATCGCTGCAGGGTATCCTCCCACTTCCTAAGAGTTATGACTCATGACAAGCTGACTATTGTGTAACTGTTTAGAACGTATTTACTGACCAGAGACTAGTAATCAGTCTCTGAAAACTGGTCGGGACTTTACTGTCAAAATTGTAGTGATGTTGATCAGACCAAAATGTGTCGATCTGAACTTATACAGCTCTGTTAGCAACAATGGTGAAGTCACAAATTTACATTATGGAGTTTTCGTTAACTGGTCGTAAAGTGGTATTAGGAAAAGGCTTTTCTTCATAACAGTATTGAAGATTATGATAATTCCGGACAGTGAAGTCTTTTTATTTGACAACATAGACCTAACTTAAAAGAATCTTATCCTCAACAATTAAGATCTAACAGGTTGATACCGCCGAACACCAGATGATCGTCAACAAGAATTAGTGTCCAGGTGAGCTGGTCCAGATTACATGCTGGAATTCATTGTTTTACATAATGATGTCATTCTGTCTATGGCTATTTGGGTCGGGCCTGCTTTTTTTCTTACAGTGTTGAGTAGAATGATATAACTTTGAGTGCGGATCTGCTTTGAGATTCTACTGATCGACAGTGAATATGACTGCTTTGTTTGATATGAATTCAAATATTGACAGTGAATCTCACGACATGATATAACCAAACTCGTGTCTAACTGTCTGTTGTCGTATTAATTACCTTTTTGTGAATAAGAAGAAGAACCAATCATTAATTAATACATTTGTTTGGAATTTCCCACTTGTACAATACCTTTCTTTTGAGAAAACCCACCAATGATACTGAAAGCCACTCAGCTTATTGTAAGTTCCACTAGGGATCCACAATCTTAAAATCATTCTCAAGAATCAGGAAGTACGTTGTATGGCTAAATGTGAAAATATCTTAAGTCGCTGCGAAGTTTTCGAAACAATTTATTATCAATATACCAACATAATCACTTTAGTGCACTTCATGTGGACAAAAACATGAAAATGTGGTATTTGAAAGAACTAACGATTTCTTTGTATTGGGTTGCCCGTTGATTATGAATTACAAACATAATACATTCATTTGTGTTCATCTGGTTCTACTTGCTGTGAATTGTAGTATTTCTGGAATTCCTAGTTAGTACATTATTTCGAATACTTCTAATTATCATGGAGAACCAAAGCAGAAATATGCCAACCGAGAGAAATCGAACAAACGAAGAACAAGAAATATCAGCGCTATCATGTCACATTTATATTACACTAGAGCCAATCGAAGAGCCAACTCTTACATGATGTATGGACTGATGATATTGGTAAGAGCAACAACAGAAACTGTGCTGTCAGCCAATACAGCATTTAGAAAATGACAACATTAATCGTAGTATATTAACGACCAAGTGACTCACTAATTCGTCATTTGACTACCTATTAAAGAATATGAGTATAGGAAAAAAGCAAGTATGCCATTCGTCAATCCGCTACATCCGGGATATATTTCCAATAAAAGAGAACAAAAATGACCTATGTTCCCGTTTTGAAATTGCGTATATTCCACGTATGCTGAGGGTCGAGTATTTCTGGTTCAGCTCCTGCAAATGTCCATATATTTTGTGGAATAATTTCCAAACAATAACCGTAATAAATTTAAGTCTTTGTACTGTTTATAGACCTTCAGTCATGTTTTCAGGTATTTTTAGTATAGGTATGATAAAAAGAATAATCGAATAAATGCGCCAATATAGAACTCACAGAATACTTCAATTTAGGGCAGATATAACTAGGTGAGGATTAATGAATGTATCACCTTTACAATTCTTAATATGCGCCAAACCAATTAAGGATGAATCCTCATTTAGTACAAATGCCACAACATAACCATAATGTTTGATGGAAATCCTGAAGTGATATAAGTTAGACCACTATTGAAAACTTGGAAGAACGGGTCTTCAGTTGTGGATTTCACACATCTTTTTTCAAGTTTAGGTGCTTGTTCAAATGGTTTTCAATAAAAGAAAAGCTTTTGCTTAACGGGCTTTCGTATCTGGTAGCAGTGGATCACCAATACCTCCAGGCAGGAACCTAGGTATATTACCGATAAATGAGGGATAATAAAAAATATTGGAAATTCATAGTAGGATACCGTCCTTAGTCCCTAAGAATATGTCAAGTTTTCTATTGAAGGGCTTCTGGGAAGTCACTTGGACTAGCTCATCCGGCAGAAAATTCCAGGATTTGACCATACTTAAGGAGTAGAAGTTGTCTATAGTCCGTTCTGCTGTATAATATATCCAGTTTCTGGCTGTTACCCTGTAGTGGCATTCAGCGCTAACCACACAATCCTCAAAGCTAAACGCAAGACAACTGAGAAAACGGATAATCAACATTCAACGGGAAGAAAAACCCAACGATAGGGGTTGGAAGCCTAACAACTACTACATTCGGCTCTAAATGAATGATTTTAGCAATTTTCCTGAATGTTCTGAATGCCAATTACAATTCATTGAAAAAACCCTTCTTTCTAGAGAACGATTAACGATTTGGCACAAGGACATCTCAAATTCTATCTTGAAGAAAGAATAGAGCTCTTTTAAGTTCAAGATAAAAGAAACTCAGGTTCTAATCTTTTTCAGTAGAGATTCAAACGGCTAGAATACAAACTTATTAGGGAATAAGATAACAATCTGTAACCGCTTTCCAAAATAACGAGTAAATTTATCGAGATATTCTTCTGGATGACTATCAGGTTCAAGAACTATATCCCTTTTTAACTCCCACCGAAATGTTGTTTAAACGCATCATTCAAGGCTGTTTCTATGTTTCTTGTCAAAGATAAAACATGAAAGTCTACAAATTGTATGAATTACGACGTTATTATGCTAGAGTATCATCATTAGCATTTGCTTTTGACACTTTTGTGGTTCTTATCATTACTTTGGTACCTTGGATCATCTCGTATATAACTGGTTGTAAGCAATTTGCCAATTTCTGAATAAAACACTACTATTTATTTAGTCATGTACGTAAATTCTTATGCTTTTCCAGAAAAACCCCTGATATTGTTCGACGGAAACATGTTGCTTTTTCTTCAGAAGGCTGATGGTTTTCTTTATTATGGTAACATACCACATCAGGAAACGAACCATCTATTGCAATCTTCGCTTAGGCTACCTCAAATCAGTTTTTACAATTCTAAAAATAAAAACTTTGATGAGGAAGAGGCGATTGATATTTATATTAAGTTTCCTATATCTCCCACAGAAAAGATAATTGGTCTCACTGTTGTACTTTTGGTTGATGTTACCACGTTGGTATATTCACGACATTAATTTCAGCTAATATTTTCTATAGAGTTTTTACAATAGACAAGACAAAGTCCCAATATTTATAAACAAAGTTTTTCGATCACACACCAATGGATTTCTATATTCTGGGGACCTTTTATGCTTTCGAAAATACTGGTTGCCTTTTACACAAGTAAGTTCATCCTTTGCAATGAAATTTTGGTGTAGGCTAGTACTTATTATGAAACTAAAACGATTCCAAGAAAAATCTTAGATCTATCAATGAACATATCGGGAGATGGTAAGCTATTTATTAGTCCATAGTTTTGCTTTTTAGGATATTACTTACTTGAAGATAGAATAAGTGTACCTATAATACGCGAAAGTCTTTCAAGTACTTTTGACATAGAAATATCTGTTTACTTTTCCTCTCTAAGAATCAGGTAAGTGTGACGTGTATCTAATTCAAAACATTGTGAATGCGTAACATATATTCCTTAACGAAAGCAAATTGGAGTAAAGCTTTGAGAGGTGGCTTGGTGGTTAACGCTTTCGACTTCCGATCACTAAGTCCCGATTTTGGGCCCATTTCATTTACTTCCTTCAGGCAGCCAAATATATATATATATATATATGTATGTTTATATAGAATTTTCCTATGCCTAAACGTCTGAAAAATGATTTAATTTCGATTAGCTGTAAACATTGTGTGCGTATTACTTGTTGATCAAAGTTGGGAATATGTTAAGCTTCAAAAACAAAATACCTACTAAAATCAACTTTAAGAGTGATCTGTGAAATATCAAACTTTATATCAAAATGATCAGTGCTAAGGATAGGTCCGTGCTTTTATGTAATAACTGTAAAATAGTTGATCACCCTTCAAACTTTCATTGACTGAGTTATCTAAAACATGTATTACTCATATTCTAATATCTAATGCCGGAGAAAAATAAGAGTAGGCTAGAAGATGTTGGGTTCCTGTACAAAGACACAGGATTCTTTGTTTATCCAAGATCTTCCAGAAAACAAAAGTTTTCTAGTGACAATCCTTTGAAAAATTGTTTTTCATGACTTAGAGTGACTTTCCTCAGAGGCACTTTGGAACTTTGAATTTAGTATTATTTTACAAAATTTATTACTCTAATTTATCCATTCTTCCCAAACCACTTTTCACTTATTTTTTTGTTCTTGCCCATACTACTACTATGCTTGCACTTTGGCTTTCGTTTGTTAAACCTTTTCGAACTGTGTTAACATTAAGGAAGAGAAAGTGAATCAATAAACCTTCATACTAGATCCTACTTTTTAAAGAACTGAAATTCAAGCTGAGTGGAATGATCATCATTGTGAACAGTCTTCGTATTGGAAACCAAAAATCAAACGTATAGTGTTATTCTATCCGAACCGATTACTAGTGTACTTTTGAACGTCCGATCGAACGAGAAATGAGATAGATTTCATTAATTCAAGCTACTTGTTACGGATAACTTATTAAGATTGACTGTCAAGGGATACAATGCAGCATTAAGATGAATATTGGTATTTGACTCATTGAATAATTGTTTTTTTGAACTTACATTTTTGACCGAAAAATCTGCGTATCATATAATTTGATAGGTCTCCGTTAAATCTCATCTCAGTCCATAAGGATTCCTATTGTTATTGTATGCAGTAGATTAATAGTTTATAATGCTGACCAAACATATTGCCAACGATACGTATAGTTTTTCTCATTTTCAAATATGTACATTTGCACTTCTTTTGTATTCTCTGTCATACTTCACTTTTCTATGCATTACCTTATTGTGTGACACATTAAAATGCTGTATTGTTTCATGACAGTTTTGATTTTTGACTATTAATTGCGATTTCTAAATCAAATCACCTCATTTTATAGGGCTATATTTCCTCACATATCAAGTGAGTTAGTGATATTGTGAGTATTTTGTTCGTCTCCATAAACATTAACTTCATTAATCCTGGTTTAGTTAAGTACGCATATTGACACCCCTGTCTTTCGAGAGTTTTACTAAAGTACTCGAGTTGTTGGCTTAAAAATCTATTGGTCAGTAATTTGTGGCACAAAACTCTTCTTAAGTATATGATGATATAATAATACTAAAGAAAAACCAAATCTTTCACAATTACTGTCCTATCTCAATAACTATCCATTCTTGTTACTTCTTTCTTTTTCCATGCTATTTCAGAATATGAGAGTTCTATAATTTACATATAATTAGTTTTTATGAGACTGTAAATTCATTATCAATTTAATCGCTAAGTAATAAGCACGATAGACATGCATTGTTTAGAGCCAGTCTACTTTAATCGATCAAAAAAAATCCTAAGTAGAATGTCTAGAAGCTGAGAGTAACTACAGTTTGAACTTTATCTCAACAATTTTGGCTAAAAAAACAACCAAGTACTAGGGGATATATAATCCATTTCAGAAAGATTACAATCATGAAAATCTTTTTATTTCGATGAAAATCTCCTATGGTTTCTTCATCATATTCATGTTTGAGAGATGGTTACAAAACTTTTCTTCAATTAAATTTAACTTTGATTAATACTTGTCAATAAGATGCATAATGTTTAAAAAATTCATTCCATGTATATAATTTACATTTATGACGTCTCATTTAACTTTATAGGGGAAAGTTGCATTACAGGTAAATTATTTATTATGTTAAAGAATAAGATGTTTGATGCACCCAAATGCCCTGGTACGGCCGAGAGTGGGGAGAGTCGGCTCTCCCTCTCGAAATGCTCTCACATGGCCATGCGTATATAGCCTCTGCCAGGGAAGTCCTACTCACTGCCTTCTCGTGGCGGGGGTGTTGTTTACAAAAATGAGAGGACGAAAAGCGAATGTCCGGCATCGGCTTTAACCGGATCCCAAACCAATGGTGCACATGGGCTCCAGTATCCTGCGGGAACAAATGGCGTATGAACCAATCGTTGGTCACCGTCTACCATGGGACTGCATCTCCTCACGATGCTCCACTGCCTTGTGGATCAGATCTTCAGGTCGAAGGCTCGAGGTGTGGCCCCCTAAGAAAACCACCTGCTTCGGTTTGGGCACCCGGGCGGTATCACACCCTCACACATATCAAATGAGATCTGTGTGGCGCATATGTATTTGGTGCCTTCTTGTACCGATATTTATGTGTTAAAATAAATAAATAAATAAGATGTTTGATGAAAAATCTTGGTTGTGATTTGACTGAATGATAACAGAAGAACATATCATTTAAGTGACTTAGATTCATCTTATACAATTAAAAATGGACTTTAGTAATAAAAGGTTTTAATTCTATACGATAGAATGTGATCTTCAATTTGTAAGGTTAGCCATATCATGTATTCTATATATTTGTGTCTATTCAGTAATCCAATCAAGATTAATAGAATTAAAATTCTCAATATTTGAGATCATGAGTCAATTGATGCTAGACCATTGTGGAAAACCTAGATGCACTGAATGGCCATTTCGTCCTATTGTAGGACTCCTCAGAAGTGCACATCCACGATCCCCGGCTTTCAGGTTTCAAACCAAGGATCTATCATTCTCGCGCCAGGCGCTTAACTAACTAGATCACTGAGCCGACCGGCATCCAATGGTGTTCATGTCTAACTTCAACTAATCTACGAAATTAAGCGACACATCCACGATTGTCATCAGTCAGTTACTATCTCAAAACTGACCTGGTTGAAATGTCTACTTGAAATCACCAATCCATTGGGATCAAATGTACATATAAACAATATTTATAAAAAGTATGAATTTTCTAACATTAAATAGGCACTTTCAGCTGATAAGTAGTAGTAGTAGTAGTAGTAAAGATAATTTGTTAGTGGTCAGTTTCAAAATATGAACTACTTGAATTTTTCCAACTATGCCATAATATATCATTTCTAATTGATTGAGACCGGATGGCTGTATCGTCTTAGTATGGGGACTCCCCATACTAGGATGAAACGGCTGTCCAGTACTTTCAGGTTTCCAACGATGGTCTAACATCAGTCAATTCATAATCTCAATCAAAAACTTAATAATCTTCACAACCCAAAATACTAACATCATTTCTAGTTAATACTTTTTTTATAATTCCTTGCATAATATATTATTACTATTATTATTGTTGTTTTATAGGGCTAATCTAGGATTTTGGTATACTATCAAAATTGCATGGATTCAATATATATCAATTGGTTTAGTGATTATTTATTTAGCTGAAAAACTAAGAGGATCCATTTATGATAAACAAATTGTTAGAACAATTGTCAAATCAACTATACCAAAATCTTTGGATCTATGAATACATTTACATTATTTTAATTGAACAATCAGTAATCTACAATATGGTCAATAAAGTGATACATATTTTTGTATTATCTTTTATAAGAGATGTGAATAAAGTAAAAATCAATATTTGAAACGTGTAAAAATGAATAGTGTAGTACATAGTTTTTACAAAGAGGAATGATTAAATTTTATGAAAATCAAGTTTATTATAAGTCTTGAATATGGTGAGATCGTTCATGATGGATCAGATTACAGATAAATGACTAGCATAAAGGAATCAAACTATGAAAGAATAACGAACGAAATGATCGAAAGAGAAATATAAGCTGATAAGATTATTAGTTCGATGAAACTTACTTATTTACTTAATTATTTACGCCTCTTACTACTCATGAAGGAGCATAGGCCGCTCACTAGCATTCTCCATCCAACCCTGTTCCAATCAATCCTTTCCAGCTCTTTCCAGTTGTTATTCATTCTTTTAATATGCGCTTCTATTTCCCGATGTAATGTGTTCTTTGTCCCTCCTCTTTTCCGCTTCCCTTCAGAATTCCAAGTTAGCGCTTGTCTCGTAATGCAGTTTGATGATTTCCTCAATGCATGTCCTATCCATTTCCATCGTCTTTTCCTAATTTCCTCTTCAACTGAAAAATGGTTTGTTCTCTCCCACAAAATACTGTTGCTGATGGTATCCGGCCAATGGATATTGAGTATCTTGAATAGACAGCTATTGATAAATACTTGTACGTTCTTGATGGTGGTTTTTGTAGATCTCCACGTTTCAGCTCCGTACAGTACGACTGCCTTGACGTTCGTATTGAAGATACTCACTTTGATATTGGTTGACAGGTGTTTTGAGTTCCATATGTTCTTCAATTGAAGGAATGCTGTCCTCGCTTTGCCAATCCTCGCATTGACGTCTGCATCTGAACCTTCTTGTTTATCGAAGATGCTTCCTAGGTATGTGAAGGATTCTACATCTTCCAGAGTTTCGCCATCAAGAGTGATTGGATTGCTGTTCTCCGTGTTGTGTTTGAGGACCTTGGTTTTCCCTTTGTGTATGTTGAGGCCTACTGATGCAGAGACTGATGCTACTCTGGCTGTCTTTATCTGCATTTGTTCGTGTGTATGTGATAGGAGGGTTAGGTCATCTGCGAAGTCCAAATCGTCTAATTGGTTCTGAGCTGTCCATCGTATGCCGTGGTTTCCCTCAGATGTCGAGGTCTTCATAATCCAGTCGACCACCAGGAGAAACAGGAAGGGGGAGAATAGACAGCCTTGTCTTACTCCGGTCCTTACTTGCAATGCGTCAGTCAGCTGTCCTCCATGCACTACTTTGCACTGTAGTCCGTCGTATGAGTTCCGGATAATGTTGACAATCTTCTCAGGAACTCCGTAGTGTCGAAGAAGTTTCCATATCGCTCTCCTATCTACACTGTCAAATGCCTTCTCATAATCAATGAAGTTGATGTACAGTGACGAGTTCCACTCAATTGATTGTTCGATGATGATCCGTAGTGTCGCAATTCGGTCTATGCACGACCGATCCTTACGGAATCTAGCTTGTTGATTTTGAAGTTGAGCGTCTACTGTGTCTTTCATCCGGTTCAGTAACACTTTGTTAAAGACTTTTCCTGGTACTGACAGTAGTGTAATGCCTCTGTAATTTTCACACTTGCTCAGATATCCTTTCTTTGGAATCTTGGTGAGGTGTCCTTCTTTCCAGTCCATCGGCACTTGTTTGATGAAACAAAGAGATGTTTTTTATCATTTATCATAAGGTAATATACCTTAACCCAAAAAGGACAAAGACAACATGGGAATGAATATATATATATATATTCTCTGTCATAACCACGTATATTATAGTAATAAGTTACTCAGAAACCAATCACGCTTAAACTCATAATTAAATGTAACAGCTCTGCAATCCAATTCAGTGACGATATCTAACATTAGAGTGAATGTTTAATCTAGGTTTTAGTAATACAAACTTTTACTAGAAAGGCAAATTATAACCTTCCTCAAACAGATACTGCCTATAATTAACCGGTAACCGTAAGTTATAACTCTTTCATTTTGAATCAATGAATACAGTGAGAAAGTCTTAACACAAATAGTAAGATGCCTTATTTATATAGTTCGTGTATACTTTGGATGAACAAATGGAGTGGTAGTAGCTAGTGGTAATTTTGTCATTCCATATGCCCTTAACAATAAGATTTGATGTAACTGAACGAGTTCTTTCTCCTTTTACTTAGAATTGGAATTCATGTTGTTTGCCATCATATTTAAAGACGTAAAACGTATTATGTTAAGTGCATAGTGTTTGATTCAACTTGATAAACGTACAACAGTTAACTGGAGAATCATTGGTTTGTGTGTAATGAACCATATGGTTTTGTGGAGAATTATTTTGCCTTTTTAACATCGTCGACACCTGCTTTAATTACACATAGATAACACTTGAAAAGTTAGATGACGGAAGTGGATGAGAATATAACTTGTGGGCGACCTTCGAGGGGTTGTGAAGTGACTTTTAGAAAATTCTCCTACTTGCTACGATCAAAAGATGATTATAAATTAGAGTGAGAAATTAAAATAAGGATTTGGAGCTAGAAGTTAGGTCTAGGAATAACAGTTAGGGTTTGCATCATGAACAAACATCAGTTATAATGCGAAAATGCCTTTTAGACAAGACTTGCTATCTTTAATTTCATTAGTTCATCCATGAGTTACAGTCTCACGAAGAAGTGTTATTTCTAGTACGACATCTATGACGAAGTTAAATAGAGAGGCTGACAGTGGAAAACCTAGACGCACTCCACTTGAAGTACACGGCTCTGGTAAACTTCGTCATAAACTCTGATTCGACCAGTAGTGTCAGAGTAAAAAACCTTCAGAAGGTTAATATACTTCTTTGGTACACCTCTCAGTGATAAACTCGGTCACAAAACCTCTCAGTCGACAAAGTCAAATGCTTCCTTGTGGTCATGAAATACAATTATATTTGTTCGCCAGTAAGTATGCCTGTGTTCTAAGATCTCACGAAAAGTGAATATTCAATCCATGCATTCACGTTCACGTGTGAAACTATCGTGATGTTCCTGAGTTCACTTCTGACTAGTTCTAGTTAAGCGTCAAGTGATTATAGATACAAATATTTCAAACACTGTTAGTCGAGCTGACTTGTTTGTGGTTATCACAAGAAGATTGCTATCATTTTTTATAAACTGAAAATCAGCGACCAAGATCAGTCACAATAGAGTACATCCTACTCTCAAACTCTTACTAGTATCCCAGTCACCCTAGCTGACCAGAGTTCAAGCTTGTGATTGAAAAGAAATTTCAATCTTTTGTCAAACCTTTCAAAAGATGGGTGATGGTGATACGACTTATTTGTGTCCACCGTTGTGTTGATTTCGGAAGGTACAAGTTCACATCCTATCTCTTGTTATGTTCAAAGTTTGTAGTTGCTAGGACTAAGCGGTTGTTTGAGCGTAGTTAGAGGAGACGGTCACCGTTATTTGCTACATTGCCCTGTGACGCCTTCATGCACAATGAAGTATTTTCCAGTTACATTTATTAACTAAAAATCAGCGATCGAGATCAGTCACAAGGGAGTAAATCCTATTCCCAAACTCTAATTAGTATTCAGGTAGTAGTTTATTCCCACCCATTATAAAATTCCTAATTAAATCATAACAAGTTACGATTTATTCTAATAAACCAGTTCAATTAATCGAATCAAAATAACTACATTCAAATATTACTTATCACTAGACTAATAAATTTTGAACTGATTTCTACAATTTAGTCAATTATGTTTTTGATTTGAACACATAAATATTGGTACAAAGGAGCACCGAATACTTATACGCCACAGATGTCACTTGATTTGTGTGTGGGATGTGATACTGCACGGCTGCCCAGATTGAAGCACGTGGTTTTCTGAGGGGGGCCACACCCGGAGCCTTCGACCTAAAGGTTCGATTCACAACGTAGTGGAGCAATGTCAGGTGATGCAGTCACATGAAAGTCGGTGACCAATAATTAGTTCATATACCATTTGTTTCTTCAAGATCCTGGAGTTCATGTGCACCATTCGTTTGGAATCAGGGTTTTACAATTCCCCCCCCTAAGTAGACCCTCAGTATCTGCCAACCTGATTAAAGCTCAAGAAATTTGCTTTTCATCTTCTCACTTTTGTAAACAACACTTCCATTACAAGAAGGCAATGAGTAAGACTTCCTTAGAAGTGGTTGTATACGCTTGGCCATATGACAGAATTTCCAGAGAGGGAGAGCTAACTCTCTCTCTCTCTCTCTCTCTCTACCCTCGATCGTATCAAGGCATTTGGAGGCAATCTAATCAATTGTGAGTAGTAGAAAAATCAATCATAATGATACAAATCCAATTTATTTGTTACATAATATTACTTAAACTTCAAAACAAACTACTCAATCTAAGATAAGTGATTGTTATCTATCTATTATTTAGAAATATAATCTTTTACAACTAAACAGAAAGAAGTAATTGTTTGAAAATAGCTTACATAAACAAAATCATTTATGTATACGGCTTTTGATCTACCTTTGTTCTGAATATGTTAGATTAATAGAACACATATATGATAGGATATACATTTCATCAAAATCAGTACTGTCTGATCACAAAAAAGTCAGACAATGAACAATAAAACAAATAAAGTTATATACTAGATCCATTTATTCCAACCCCTAGCTCCCAATTTTGGGGAAAATTTAGGGAAGCCGCTATAGTAAACTTTGGGGAAACTCTCGAAGTCAGACGACTTTGACCAATGTTTTGGGAAATTTTGCGGAACTTTGGGGAAATCCCCAAAGTCAAATGATCTTGATCAAGGTTAAAGGGGAATTTCGGGGAAATTCCCCGAAATTTTCCCAAAGTACCCCCAAATTTCCCGAAACATTGTCCAACGTCGTTTGACTTCGAAAGTTTCCGCAAAATTTCCCCAAAGTTGGTAGCTCGGGACCTCGTTATTATTATTATTTGACAGAAAAATCCAACGCAAAGCCTGTAAGTGACACTACTGAATAGTGAGGATAACCTAACTGGCTTATTCTGATGGTTGAAAGATATCGGACAAATC